AGTAACCTAGATCCCTACACATTACCTCCTTTACTCATCAGAAGAACCCTGGGAGAAGAGCACTGCTGTTGTCACTTCCCCAGGAGGAAAGTGAGGCACGAGACGTAGAACAATGTTAAGGTCACTGTAGACATGTCGAAAGCGTTAGCTGGGCCAGCACCATTACCACATCATGATGGACATCCCATGTGCCTGGCTCACAGGACCCATTTTACAGGAAGCCTGATCTCATTAGCATGTAACGTGGACCATGTGCTGTAGTTCTGAACTTCAGTGTGTGCAGTCATTTCACGACTTCATTTGCATCACAATGGAGATCCCAGGTAGGCAATGGGTGGAAGGTCTTATGACCCTTTTATAGCTTGCCTTTTTAGAGGGCCCAACTTCGGTTTCTTTCACCTCCAGCATCTTATTCTTATTCCTTCCCTTCTTTGGGGGAGTTCACAGGCAGGGCCAGTGCCCTAACAGGCCGCTAGAGGGAGCCGCCGGCAGAAGAATAGAACACCTCATCCAGGCGCAGGCTGGAAACATAGCAGCCGGTAGGGCTATTCTTATCCTCAGTTACTTCAAAGTCACCCAACCCTAGGAATAGCTCTTACCCAGGAACCATAGGGTTATCTCACTCAAGCCAAGGGAACCTTGGTGTCCAGGGCTTTGGGTCCTTCCTTGCAATGCGGACAGAGGGGATACAGAAGAAACAACTCTGGCAGTGGGGAAAGAGGTGTGTCTGCTGGGTGCCCACAGCACCCTGGAAAGCCAGGCAGAGCGCTGGTCACAAGGGCTTGGAGCCAGGTGGACACCAGCTAGGACCTGCACCCTGACACTTCCTGGTTGGGTGGCTTGGGGCTCTGTGCCTAGACTGTCATCTGTAATATGGTATTGGCTACCATGCCTACTTTTTTTTTGCTATAGGGCACATGTGCTCACCAGAAAGACAAGAGACAGAAAGAGAGATAGAAAGTGAGAAATCACTTTCTCAGGGGGGATGGCCACGCCACGCCTCAACCCTTCCTCCTCCATCCTTCTCTCGGGATCTTGGGCAAGCATGCATACGTGCCCAGCATGAGTTTAAGCCCCACAGCCAGGGACTCGAACCGTGATCAGCTACATGGGAGTTCAGCGACATAGCCATTACGCTAACTGCTGGTCCCTACCATGCCTACTTCTCAGTGTTGCTGTGAAGTGGGATGGTCCATAGAAAGCCCCAGAAGCTTCTTTAAGATTTGAGATGGCTTGGGCCAGCAGGTTTGCATGGTGGTTAAGATGTCTGACTCTCACATAACCTACTGTGTGGTTCAAGTCCCAGACCCAGCAGCTTAAAAAGCATGCCAGGCATGTGTGTGTGTCCAAAATCCTGAGAATGGAGAAGGGATTATGGCATGATCATCCCCTCCAAGCCTGCAGGGAGGGTGGGGCTTTCTTTCTTGCTTTCTCTCTCACTCTTTGGAGAGCCCACCAGCCCTGTATAAAAAATTAAAAAAAAAAAAAAAAGATTTGAGATGGGTCAAGGTGCCAGGCCCCTAGATCTCTGAGCACATGCAAGAGGGACTTCCATAGTCCTCTTTAATATCTTAATAATATAACTGTAATAATAAAACCAATGCATAATCACACTAATGCAATATCTCATAATAATAAAGTACTGTGCCTTGACTTTTTTGTTCCCTGCCCCTTCGCACCCTCCCAAGAGGCTTGCCACCTCACCTGGCCCTGAAGTTTGACCCACCCCTCCCCTTGCACAGAGCCATAGCTTCTCCTCTCACAGCCCAGCCCAGCCTTGCTAGAGCAAGGGGGGAGCAGCCCTTGGGCTGGGGCTGCATGGGAGGCCGACTGGGCTCCCATCAGGGCCGACCTCAACAGGCCACAGGCCTTGAATCCCAGCTACCTGGGAGGCTGGGGCAGAGGACCCAATGGGCTGAGACCCTGTCCAAAGTCCCCTGTGGGGGCCAGCAGGTGGCAGGGTGAAATGGCTGGACTCCCACTCCCACGTGGCCGACTGCCTTTGGAGATCCAGGATCCGGTGGCTTGAAACTCGCCAGGAATGTGTGCCTGTGTGCCCAAAATAACCAGAGGAGAATGGAGGAGAAGGGATTGTGGCATAGCCATCCCTCCTGGGAAGTTATTTCTCACTTTCCCTCTCTGTCTCGGGTGAGCCTATGAGTCCTACAGCAAAAATCTCTTGCTCTAAAAGTAACAAACACACAAACCCTGTGTGTCTCTCATTTAAAAACCAAACAAAATGAACCCCCAGACCCAGGCCCCCTGTGCGGTGTCAGCTGATACCGGCCCACGCAGTAATAGCGCTCTGGGCCCCCAGATGCCTCTCTGGGGAGGTCCTCTGCCGTGGGGTCCTGTGGGCTAGAGACAGCGATCCTCTGTCAAGAGTCAAAAGCCCAGAGGGCTCCCAGGAGGCCCGCCGGCTGCAGGAAGGTCCCAGGGAGCCCTGCTCTAAAATCCGTGCGCCGTGGGTTGGGGCAGCGCGCAAGCCTAAGCGGCACGGCCACCCGGACGCATCTCCGGCGCGGGTCGACCCGGAAGGCCCTGCCGAGCCGGAAGGCGGGAGGGCGGAGCCAGCGGACCGTGCCTCTGTCACCGCGGCCTGCACGACCCTCCGCCGGGGAAGCGGAGCCCGAGCCGGGAGCTGGAGGCCGGACGGGGCTGCAGCGGGAGCCGGGAGCCGGGGCCGAAC